GGGGGGGGGGGGGGGCTGTGGGATTTGGCGATGTCTCGACTCTTACGGTTGGAAAGCACCAAGGGTTGTCACGTCCGGGAGTTTCGGTTTCGCCGGGGATATTTGAAGTGGGATTGGGCTTGTCAGGAGTTGTTGTGTGCGACACAGAGACATAGAGTCTCGTCGTCGAAGTTGAAAGGTGAAGCCGGAGACATCAAAACGGTCGTCATGCTAGCCAAGCCCGGAGGAGTGTAAACGACTGCACGCACAAACAAGACCCTAGACGACCTGTGCAAAACATGAAACCCTCAACCTCAACAGGGAGGCAGGCATCCAGCTATTCATTTCTCAACAAACCCTCCTCATTGAGTGCCGAATCGCAGCCACATCCGACAACTGGAGGCTTGCGTGCTGCTGAGATGCGGTGTCTGCTTCGCTTTGCCTGACAGAAGTAGCGCACGTGGGCAGTATATCCCGAGTCCACGCAATCAAAGAAAAGAAGCCATTGTGCAAACCTGGAACCAGATGGCCTTCCGGTTTTGCGGCTTCAACTTGGTGAAGTGCGAACCGCATATGGCTTGGTAGTGCCTCAGTATGACACCCTAGCCGTAGAAGCGCAAGCGGGTCAGCGACAAGCGGTGGTGATGTCAGGGGGAGGGACCTTGACAACCAACATGCGCAGTAAGTCCAACTAGGTTGCGGGAGTCGGCAGCGGATTCATCGCATCCTCCACTGACGATGACGCCGAAGTAGCACTCCTCAGACAGATCCCGGGTGCAATCCAGACTGCAATGAGGCCACAGAATCTTCTATTGCTATATACTCATAACAGTAGAGACCGCTCTTGCTATGCTGTTATAATATGTTACTAGTGTCTTATTCTTTGTGGAAGTCGCCCTTCAGCCCGGCCTTCGTACTTCGGGCAATAAGCACAGCAGTGGTGAGAAGCAGAGAAGTTACTCCAAGGCTCGACTCGTGCCACTGAATCCTTGGATGCAATGGTAAAAACATGTCTCACATCAAGGTCGGCACTTCTGCGTAGGCGCAATGCCCAACAACCGAAAACAAGGCGGCAGAGGCTAGTTCCGGCTGATGTTCTGGAGGTTTGGGAGTGGTTATGAAGGCAAGTACAAGTAGTGGACTTTCTGTCAAGCAGAAGTACTTTCCAGTTGCAGGAGGAGGAGATTGCTTGCGAAGATGAAGCTCAATAGGGCATCATCGTAGAAGATGTATAACCAAAACAGAACAAATAAGAGTATACTTCCCGAAGCCAAGCCCGAAACCTTAGCCCTAAACCCTAAACCCTAAGCCAAACCGAACCACTGGTCCTGCAGGACAAGGGTCTTCGGCAACCGAGCCTTCTCTTTGGGAAGCCAGGATGCTGCTTCTGAGGCTTGCTCCTGGGCCTGTGCCGGGTAATGTGGGGGCCTGAATAAGAATAGGGTTTCGGGGCCTCCTTATTAAAATGATACCCCAAACCTTCTAATCATTAAGGCCCCTATATCACACTCTTTTCGCGTTTCTGCTTTACTTTGGAGTCTTCGAAGCTTTTGGGAAGCACTTAAGCTCTGAAGCCTTAGAAGGGGTACACAAAATGCCCACACCCGATTTAGTTGAAACCGGCCTTGCTGGCTGCGCCTGCTGCCAGGCATCTCGAAATCAATACCCTCAACCGAACAAAACCCTGGACCCTACTCATTCAACACCCCCTAAACTCCAACTGTCGGATGTAGAAGCCTGCATATTTAGTATCATTTTTTGGAGGTTCCTTATTATACGTGTACTAGATTTTGCCCTGCTCCTATGTCAATACCCTTGTAGTGAACCTCATAGACTCCGTCGAAAAAGGAATCCTGAAATGAATCCTATTCTAAGTATTACGGCCACCTTCCTTAACCTCAACCCTAACTCTAAACCCTTAACCCCCAAAAGCCCTGAATCCCTAGATCCTGAATTTCAATATGCGAAACCCCAAACCTTCCCCGTAGAGTAAGCCTTATAATTATAGACTATATATAGACTCAGACCACATGAAAGAAGTTCTTTTCTATTTTTGGCGAGTATTCTGAAAGTCTCCGAATGGAATCCTCAACCATTAAAGCCCCATATATATATATAACCTCAAAAAGCCCTTTCCCAAAAATTTCGGCATATTCATACCCTTGTAGTCAACCGTAAATAGTAAACTTTACTTAAAGACGCCTGTAAAAGGCACGATTCTAAGTATTAAGGCCACGTTTCTAAACTTTGAACCCCCGAAACCCCTAAATCCTTAGACCCTAATCCAGAAATCACTGCCCTGTCGCATTGGTTTGTATTAAAACGTAAACCTTACGCTAAAAAAAAACGTAAACGGGTACCCCTAAGTATCGAAGCTAAGTCCGTGAACCTGAAACCCTCAAAAACACCAAATCCCTGGACCTCATCCCCAAGCCCTAAACCCTTAACCCAAAAAGGCCACTGCCCCAAACCTTCGGACTCCATATGAAACCCTTATAAGAAACCTTACTTGTAGACCCCTGCAAAAGGAACCCACAGACCCCGTAAACGCACCCTGAGATGAACCTTTTCAGAAACTACCAGGTGTAGTATGAATGATCCTAGCCCTTCTGGCACTTATCGCCTTAAGCCTTAAACCCTTTTTGCAACTGGGCTTGGAGACTAGCCAGATCCTTGCATCACGGCCTGTCGTATTCACCCAACTCTGTGCAGGTGCACTACTTGGCCAAAGAATGATTCGCAGAAGAGTTACCCTAAACCCTAAACCTTCGGCCTCTACATGAATGACACTAACCCTTGAAGGAAACCTTTGCAGGAACCCTTTCGACCCCATAATTACAGTCTTAAAGGAACCCTTCTAGCAAGTATTAGATTAGACCCCTGAAAGTCTTAAAAGGAACCCTTCTAGCAAGTATCAGACCCCTTCATAAGTCTTAAAAGGAACCCTTCTAGCATTTATTAGACCCCTTGATCAGCCTTAAAGGGAACCCTTCTAGCCAGTACCAGACCCCTTAATAAGCCTTAAAGGAAACCCTTCTACCTTAAAGCCTTAAAAGGAGCCCTTCCTGCCATGTATTAGGTGAACCCTTCGGCCTCAGGCTTCAAGAGCTTCGCCAGCTCTCGGCTCAGCAAGCTCCGGTCCTTCGACGGCACGGCAGCGCCTGGAGAAACACGGCCTCTTCGGATAAAGTACGGGTTCCAGCGGCTCTGTTAAAGGAGTCTCTACTGTAAGGTAACTTTGGGGGGTTCATAGTATAAGGGGCCTGAATGCCGGCCTTGATTTCGGAAGCTAGAGTGAGTTTTTGGGGCATGCCACAGTATAATTATGCTAAGGAATCTGTGGAATAGCAGTTTGCACGCTAGCGCAGACCCCTGATAAATAAGCCCCCTTTCCTTCAAGGCCTCAACATGAGGATCCCTGTTAGAACAGGGGGGGGCTTATTAATCAGGTGTCTACATTACCCGCAACCTGATACTGAGAGACCCTTAGAGCCTTATATAGGGGCAGCTCAACAAAACATTGTCATAAGAATCCTGTATCTGATGTGGTGAAAGGGCAGCAACTTCAGCACTGTTGTGTAATGCGAGCATCAGCAAATCTGCATGTTTTTGACAGAAATACT